CAACTTCACAGGTACGTAACAACCAATCTTGTATCGCTCATCTCTCTCTCTCTCTCTCTCTCTCTCTCTCTCTCTCTCTCTCTCTCTCTCTCTCTCTCTTCTTCTTCTTCATTGTGGTCTTCTTGCAAGTGCGCGGCGACTTCGTCGTCCTCAGGTCCGCTATGGCGGAGTATCTCCTTCGGCGGCCACCTCGGCTATGGCGCATCAGGCCCTGCATACGACGGCACGCATGGAATAGCGGGTACCAGCTCCGATACCAATGCAATCAGACTCGTTCTCAAACACACTTTTCATACATATAAACAGCAACGCAGCAAACTGGCGACATGCGCCCACACAAAACTCAGAGATATGGCCTCCAGATACGAGTTCACTCTTGATTGGCTATGGCGACTTCAACGCCCAACAACTCACTGTTTACACATGCCGGATCACCCTGGATATCCCATACACGTCACCTTGAACAGTCGAACACACACACACACTTCCTACTTACTACAGCTATGGCAGCTATGGCTGCCTCTAACCTATTGCAATACTAACTCCTCCTCTCTCGCCCACTGTGTCCTCCGGGCTCATCTGCAGACCTCCTTGCACAAGTCGCTGTGGCAGCGCTTCCGCATGGCTCACGCAGGAATGAATGAATGGCTGGGCGCTGCCTCTTGATTTATACTTCTGCAGGTCGTTGGTCTGGCCCATTTCCCTTGCCCGAAGTGCACACAATCCCGTGCGGTACTTGCTGGATTGACTGGGGACTGGGACTGTTGACTTAGCAGGGTAGACTTCTACCACTTGCCCACTTGCCTCACCACTTGACTACTTGCCTCTGCTTAAACGTGGGCAACTCCGAAAGGCCACTACTGGGACCTTCCGGAAGGCTGTACACTTGGCCTTTCGTGACTGTAGCAGCTACGATTCTGACCCTTCTGGACTGTAGCAGCTACGAACTTGACCTTTCAAGAAAACTACAGCTACGATGTCTAGACCTGACTAAGACTCCTATCCGACAGGTCTACAGATCGAACCCATGCTACCTATGGACCCTACGACAACCTATCAGCTATTACAAATACACAGGTTGTGGGTTCAATTCTACGGGTCAACACAGGTACTGTACACATGTAAGGTTGGGGTCTAGGGATCGAACCCTGGGATCTGCAGCAGCTACTGCTAACTAGTGAATACCGTTTCAAAATGGGCTAAGCGTCAGGTTTTATATCTAGGGCATGTACTTGATGGTGATGGAATCAAACCGGAAGACACAAAGATTGCGGCAATCGCGATTGGCCTAACCCCCGCACTTTGACTGAATTGCGGTCGTTACTTGGGCTAGCCAATTATTATCGAAAATTCGTAAGACATTCGGAGATTGCTTAAAAAAGAAACAATCTGGAAGTGGGATTCAGACTGTACAGCCT